TTGTATATACAACTTTGAGCTAAAAAATACGCGATGACTTTTTACTTAACCTAATATTTCATGTAATACGTTTATTGCATTTAGTGCACTGAATTCAATCGGCGCACTTTGTATGCTTTAGGCATAAATTCCGCCCGCTAAAAATGCCGTATATATCCCAAAACAGATGGGATATGCAAGATAACAAACTAACCAAAGAATACAAGAGCAAAATACTTCTATTTTGTTATACAATATGCTTTACTATTCCTCTACATCCATGTATCACGAAATAACCACTAAGTCTTTTGCACGTCCTAGAGTAATCATTTTATGCATCAGATTATAATTTATGATGGCGCTGCTTAATACAGTGACAAATCGATTCAACTTACAATAATTTCATTAATATTAATCCTTACCCTACAAGTATGGGTCACTAGTAACCGAGCGATTCCTGTATTCATCCAAATTTTTTTGAGTCTTTCGGTAATTATACATTATACTACATTTTATTATTTTCCAAAATAAAGTTCCAATATTTATTCTAAAAAGTTGAAAGTATGTTGATGAATTTTTAGAGATTGTTTTTAATCATTCTGAATAGGTAAAAAAAAACGAACGGATTTAATACTTCACGTTTGTATGAATGAAGCACCAAATTGTATCTTGTACGGTAAGGGGGGGGAGGGAGATTAACAGTAAAAAACTGAAATCATTAATACAATATTAATATAACATAAAGGCATGCAACAGAGTAATTGCGGAAAAATTACCCTCATTCCTTCTATGTTTTCCGACTTTTGAGGCGTAAATCTTAGCGCGACGTATTTACTGGAATTACCCTATACATTCTTTGATAAAAAAAAATATGCACATGTGTATAAATAAAAGGACCATTATTTCGGAAACGATGATAGAAATCCATCGAAATAATGCTACAAGACTATTATCTCTTGACAAAATCTATGAGAAAGGTCTTATACATCGAAACCATATCTATTATCGAGAAAATAATCCCAGCTAGATGTAACTTTTTTTTTTGTCAAAAATATATTTTTATTTAATATATTTTATTATACTTCTCTCTACATTTCTTGGAGTGAAATCTCACTCCAAGAAATTTAGAGAGTTTATTTAAGGAAATGGACGGAATAAGGTCGGACCTAATTACTAAAGTCGAAACTTTTGTCGAAACTAAACCGAAACACTTGGCTATATGTCAATATCAACAGAAATTAAAACCAAAAAATTAAAAAATAGGAATCCTATAAGGGCTGTATTGACATGCCCACATGCCTCGTATCTTACATTTTTTCTTCATTAAATATTATAATTTATTCAAAACAATAATTAATAAATTTTGGCCGAAATTGGAAATCAAAATTTCGGTTGTGTCTCAGTTTTGGCCAAAGAATATAAATACTTTTTCATAAACATTATAATTTAATTATTGAAACAATAATTACACATGTTAAAATTAATATTTATGAAGAAAAATTACATGGTTTGTCGAAACTGACACGCATAATGAGTGTTCGTTTTTAGTTTCGGTGAAAGTTTCAATCGGACTCTATTAATTTCAAAATCTTGATTTTAATAAAAATTAAAATAATTTGCTGCTTTTTTATTATATTGTACATAAAATGGGTACAGTATCAAATGAATTTATGTAATATCTTTAAGAAATTACATGTTACAATACTTCTCTATTACGATCAGTGTTATACATATATGATAAAGAAGCTCCCGAAAAAGAGCCTAAGTAAAATTGTGCCTTTTATTCCGCCCATCCTCCTCAAATAAACTCAAATACACTTAATTATATACATATTTGCTATATTATAAATATTTTATTATATCCATTAGTAAAAACACACTTTCCGCACATTTTATTTACAGGCGTATTTTTTAGTATCCTTGAACAAGTAAAACGATTTAATAACTTTTGATTATTTATTCTTTCTAATTTTTTACGCGATAGAAGATAGATATTTGTAAACGAGATAGAAGAGCATTGCAGTCTGTGCAAAGTCGATATTAATCATTTATTGAATAGGATTAGCGAAATGAATTTAACTCGTCGACATAGCCCTTAATTATACCGGCAAAATCGTGCTGATGTCATTGTGCAATTAACAGCGTTGAGGTATAATCGTATTAAGATTACTCTGTGTTGATTAACGCAATACAAAGGGACAAAAGCGTACGCTCCAGGCGGATTATCTATCGTTTATGGCAAATCGCACACACCGATTATACATATGCTTCTCTTTCTTTCTAGGTGTTCAAGATCTTATTATAAATTGTGTACGGGACGACACCGGGAAAACAGTGATGCCGCTTTTATGCTCCGCGGAAACGAAGCCGGAGGCGAGGATACGAGTCTGTAATGATCATCCATGTCCTCCAAGGTAAATTATAATTCTGCAATATCGATTAGTTTAATGTCTAAATATTAGAATATTATGTAACTTCATGTTACATAATAATATTTAATTTGCTTAATTGCTAAGTATCTTGGGATTGCTTCTTATAGATAATAAAAAAAATATAAGGCGTTAAATAAGTTTGACCACAAAATTTTGTGTTTTAATTTATCAAATTATCAATATATTCATTGAAAACTGGATTGTTACTTACATCTTATTAAATAGAAAAAAATAATAAACATTCAAAATAGCTATCTTCAGCTTTGATACTAGCTTTAAAATGCTTCGGAAATGATGATCTTTCCATGGATAAATTCTCCAAGTAGACACTAGAATGATTTCCAGTTCAGCAATCAATGAAAATTTTTTGGTACAGAGTCTTTTTAATATTTAATAAGATATAACTAATAAATAATAAATAGTCATACATCTTATTAAATAGTCATACATCTTATTAAATACCAAAAAGATTCCAATAACTCCAGAATTTAAATATACTATTTAAGTAGCGCGCGCGCAAACTGACGTCATTTGTCGTCATTTTAAAATCAAAATAACGTCACATAACATCAGTTTGTTACTACATACAGTGAGAGCAAAAAGTATTTTCGCACAAGGAAATTTTTTATAAAAAAAGTTTTATTTGTAGAGAATAACCATTAATTAGTAATTTTATACAATTAATACATTCTGTTCTAATCTATGCAAATGAACTTTGCATGTATTTCTGATATTAGAAGCTAAATTCTATTTTTCAGATGATATATTTTCTATAATTAATACAAATTTTTTTGCTTTTTTTATAATTAAAATCTAATCTTTTCTATAATTGGTATATATAATTTTAAGAAACATACAGTCTATTTTATACTTTATGAATAAATTGTTACCCAACAAGAAATGATCATCAATTAAACGTCGAATCGACGTCAAATTGGTGTTGAAATCATCGTATCGATTCGACATCAATTCGATGGCTCATTTCTCGCTGGATAATATTTAATTTTTAAAAATAAAGTTTTTTTAAAAAATATTTTCTCTGTACAAATACTTTTTGTACTCACTGTATGTTTACAAATTTTATTCAATGCATAATGCTGTACAAATAAGGATATGGAAAACATTTTATTTTATAAATTAATGAAATTATTTATTGATTCGCCTCTTAATCTATTATTTTATTTTCTCATTTTAAAGTTTTATATATTTATAATTATATTTAAAAATTATATTTAAAAATATATTAAAAAATACTTGAATGATCTTTTTATAGTAGTATGCCTTACCGTATAATTTTGCGAATTGTATGCAATTTGAGAAGGTTTAATTAATGTTACGACGCAATTCTCTGCGATATTTTCTGACAAACGTGTGATCGTCTACGCCCGCAGGTGGAATTATAGCGAATTCTCTACTTGTATGAGCCCTTGCGGTATTGGTATACAGACACGTGACGTTGCTTGTATCCACGAGGTGACACCCGGCACCAACAGAGCAGTGACCGTTCCAAATTACATGTGTCCGCAACCACCGCCCGCCGATAGACGATACTGCAACGTACTGGATTGTCCTGTCAAATGGAGCACAGGGGAATGGGGGAAGGTATATGTTTGTACACGTTTGTATAAGGCTTCAACAATCTCGGGGAAAAGCTCTTTGTTACACACGAACTCGGAGCAGAATAGTAATATAAATTACTTCCCTCATTCGTACAAAAAGAACATGAGAGAATCTACTCGATGTAAAGAGGCAAAAATTTCTTATATATTTTTATAGAAAAAAAATCATAACAAAATTTAATCATTTTAAAGAAATTATCACGAGTATTGTGAAACATTATTTTCATTTAACAACGATATATGTAAGGAATAGATTAATGAGAGTAAAGCTAAATATTGCGCAGATTTATATAATATGTAAAGACCTCTTTATCGAGTAAATATTTCGACTCTCGTTCAAGTATTCAGCACAGTCAAAAATCCAAAATAGAATTCTCAGTATGAGAAACACACTCCAGTCATCTCAGCGTTTTCAATCGCATGGTTAGTTAGTCAAGTGAAATTAATAACGATAGATCAGCGATCATCGCTAAAATATAATATTTTATCTGAGAAAAATTGAAATAATTCACCCCAAGGATCCGAAATCACAACTTAAAAATTAACTACAAAATATAAAAATCCACAATTATTCCAAATATAAAATTTTTGTTTTCACGAATATATGTGAAAATCGTAGATCGTCTTACGGGTCAAATTTTAAATGAGTTCGTTAAAACAAAGATATATCACATTCCTTATAAGCTTATATTAAGTTGCTCAAGACAAATTTAGATAATGAATTCAATAACTAGAAATGTTATTTACAATATCGAAATAGTTTTAAGGATGGTATATACATGAAGTCTGTGTGTATTTTATAATGTATTCAATATTGACACGTATAAATGATGTAAAATGATGTTCTGTGTCCGATTTTAAATTTAATCTTTTGCTTTTTTATGTATAACATTAATGAATTTAGGCACTTTTGCATATGTAAAGAGTAGTTCGGTATCTAATATTCTCACATTTGTCCTATCAAAATTATTGTAATGCATTCTATGTTTAATTATTATCGAATGATTTTTCGTATTTTTTAAATATTATTTTTGTACTTAGATATTCTGATTTGTAACCGCGTCGGCCTGTTTGTCCGACATCGTAATCATTACAAGAAATCTTATAGATTACATTCTTTATACAGTCATAAGACCAAACATCTTATGCTTTAATTATTGTATTCATTTTATTTACGCCAACAAACATTGATTAGTCTTATGTTCAAATAGTATTAAACGAGTCATGTTTCTAAATTTATCCGAAATTGTAGGTATATTTACTTGTGTGTATATATATATATATATATATATATATATATATATATATA